ATAGAGCACATCATGAGACAGAGTATGCATCATCACCTGTAGAAAGTAATCTTCTGTGGTGTTATTTAGGCTCCTAACAACTGCTTTTAAAAAAGAAACCAACCCATTCTCTTCAGAAGGATGAATATATATTGAAATAAATATATATGAATATATTTGAAATGCTATGAGGTCTTTGCTTCTACTGCCTTCCAGTCCCCAAGCATGAGATACTTCCACTTGCAGGCTCAGGCCTGACAAGAGTCTCAGGGACCAATTCTATTTTTAGTTGGGGTCCTCTATATGCAAGGAACTTTACCAGAAGTAGATGAGGTTCAATAATAAGACAGCTTTGCTACCAGTGTCACCCCAACCCAGAGCTACCACAATGAGTCTTGCAGAGAATATTTTATATCATTTTCATAATAATCCTATGTCCAAGGCATCATTACTGTCTTGGTTTTACAGATGAAAAATAACTGAATTTCAGGGAAAATGAACAAGTTGCTCAAGGTCATGAAGTTAGTCCGTAAAACTGGACTGTGATTCATTTCCCAAGTATAACCACATCCCTCTAATGAACAGCTTCTCCCTACCTGGAGACCTGAGCTGCCTCCTCCCTAGCTCTTCTCTACTGTCTTCTTGGGGCTGCTGTGCTGCCATGAACCTGAGACCTATATCTAGGGTCATCTTCTGGTTCCCATAATAGGCCTCTGTGCCTCAGGCTTCTAGACTTCCCTGGTGCTCTGCCCAAGTATCTTCTGGCAGTCAACAGGTCTCTTCCAAATGCCTACCATGTACAGAGGGTCTAAGACAGTCACTGCTCTCCACAAACGTTCCTGTGGCAGTCTGCCTGATTCCACATGCTCAGAATCCAATGACAATCTAGAAGCTCTTCTCTCTCCTATTTCCCAGAGTTTCCAAGCTTGTGACCTTGGAGAGCATTTACTTTCTGGGTCCTAGCAACTGTATGTGCAAGTCCAATCTAAGGCTTTTGTTAGGGAGCATACTCATTAGATGGTTCTTCTGTCAGACTTCAAGGAAATACTGATCAGCACATAAAGAGGACTAGGTAGGAATGAGTGAAGACAGGACAACCTAGAGTCAGACCTGGCCACTCTAGAAAATATTCTTTTAGTAATGTGTGCAAGTTGAGTTAGGAGAAAGCATGTGTCAAGGCATTTGATAGAAAAAAAGACCAAGTAGACATCTTTGCTGCTAATTAAAGGGGTTGGGTCCTATTGGTTCTGCTTGGTGAGGACACATGAAGAGAAATAAAATTGAGATTATAGACTGACCAGAGTTCAGAGATATGTGTGACACTTAGACCTATTTACAAAGGATAACGTGGAAGGAAAATCTCGTTTCTAATCATTCCAGTGTCTGACTGTGGCTTGCTTTGTGATTATGCACAAAGTATTAAAATGGTTTTCTCTTAGTTCCCAGTGATAAAAGTTCAAAGAAAAGTCATTCCTACTGGAGTCCAGATTCCCTGAAACTCAAATCAGATGTCAGGTGAGTAGTTTCAATGCAACTTCATTATAGAATCCTACAGCAGTGTAGAAGATGACAGGACTTTGCAGAATGGCAACAAAAACCACTTATAAATCAGGGAGCTAGGGAAGTGGCTCAGCTGGTGTAGTGTTTGCTGGGCAAGAATGACAACCTGAGTTTGGTCTTCAGCATCCACATAAAAAGCCAGGTGTGGTGGCACATGCTTGCAAGCCCAGCACTGGGGAGGCAGAGAGAGATAGGAGGATCCTTGGGACTTGCTGACTAGCAAGCCTAATTGATAGGTCCCAGGTCCCAGTGAGAGACCCTGTCTAATGATGGTACATAGCACCTATGGCACAACACCTGAGGTTGACCTCTGTTCTCCACATGCATACACACACATGTACACGTACACCTGCATACATGTGAACATATATGCATACACACACCTAAACACACATAAAATTATAAATCAAGTTTATCTAAAAACATTAGGAACTGAAATCAGGCACAGATCACTGTCCTTGTTTTATAAATTCAAGAATTTTTCTGATATGACTGAATGAACCAGCTGAGATTTCAGAAGAAACCCTGCTTTCTACAAGCCCTTCTTATAACTTTCTACTGCACGCAAGACATCTTCATGGGGGCTTCTAATTATGCTTTTCTTAACCCTCTATATGACCTATAACCAAGTCAGCCACACTGGCATGACTTTTCATATGTGTGGTATTTGCTTTCATAAAACAGAATGAAGTCAGCAGAGGATCTATTTTCAGAGAAGGCAGAACATGGAATAATCTGACCTAGATAGATAACAGTCTCTAATTATAGAATTATAGGCTCTTGGCAGGTAGTAAAGCCAATTATGATTTGAGAGCACAACAGGGTGAATGTACTCAATAAAAAGGAAAAGTTTCATCACTCCTCCCAGAGCAAGTCTTCTTTTATGAAACACCCCTTTCCCGCATAACAATCTTTGCAGAGTTGGACTCTAATTATTAGAGTTCCAAACAACTTTGTTAGAAACAATCTTTGGAAGGGCGTGCCACTTGCTCCTTAACCAGATGGTGGGTCCTTGCCCTCACAGGCCAGGCCAGCCACTCTAAGCAGGTGAGCCTCACTCTTGAGGAATGAAAACACCTGCATTGTGTTGTGGTTACTGCTGCCACGCTGGTTTACTCTTTAACTTCCTGGCTTCAGTGTCAACAAGTGACTCAGTTCAGATTCAAGTGTGCAGGTACTCGGGTAATATTGGAAATAGAAACTCTTATATCAACTTGGGTATTTTTAAAATAAATAGGGCTATAGGCATAAAGAGAATAGAATCTATTTTATGAATATAATTGTTAAAAGTTCCAGAAATTATTTTGCAAAGGTCTACTGACAGAGACTTGGCACTCTTGATAATCTCTGGTGTCCAAATTCATAGGGGTAAGGAAGTAAGGACTTCCAAATCAAATATATGCTCGCTAAAGCCCACCAATTCCTTTCATTAACAATACTAGAATGAGGCCTCATGTGTGTACAGGTGCACATGATTATGTAGAGGCCAGAGGTCAGTCTCATATGGCGTTCTTTAGGTGCTGCTCACTTTGATTTTTAAAACAGGATCTCTCACTGGCCTGGCCTACTGATTAGGCTAAGCTGGCTGGTCTCACTGAGCTCCAGGGATCTGCTTATCTTGGGGTCACTAGGGTCAAGATTATAAATGCATGCCACCATTTTGGCTTTTTTTCTCTTGGGTTCTGGGGACTGAACAATGGTCCACACCCTTTCTTTACTGACTGAGCCATCTCTCCAGTCCTAATGTACTACTTTTCCTAAAGTGTTTCCTTTCCTAAGAGTATTTCTAGGGCCATCTAAAGCTAAGAAAATCTTTAAAAGCTTAAAAATGAAACTTTACATTCACAGCAGTACCTGGTACATGGTAAGTACTCAGGAAATACTGACTGAATATTGAATACAACAATTACCAGGGCTGGGTGTAGTGGCACACACCTTTAATCCTAGCACTCAAGAGGCAGAGGTTGGCGGATCTCTAGGAGCTAGAGGCCAGCCTGGTCTACATAGCAAGTTCCAGGCTAGCTGGGGAGACTCTGTCTCAACAAACAAACAAATAAGCAAACAAAAATTATCAAAACTTTGGGAGCTGGAAGAGATAGAACAATCCTGTCTAGCCTCCCTATTTACAGGTGAAGGCCAGAGAGGTTGATTTGCTTGTCAAAACCATATAGCTGGGCTGTCAAGGTGGCTCAGTGGATAAAAGTTCTTGCCACACAGCCTAAATTCAGTACTTGGAACCCATGGTGGAACGAGAGAACCGACTCCTGAAAGTTTTCCTCTGACCTCCACACTCACACAGTGGCACACGTGTGCACACACACTCACACACATACACTCACATGCTAAATTAAAATGTAAGAACCCACATAACTAATCAGGCATGGTAGTATACACCTGTAATTCCAGCACTTAAAAGACTGAGGCAGGAGGATCATGTGATTGAGGCCAGTCTGGGGAACACAGTGAAACCCTGTCTCAAATACAAATGTAAGCAAAACAAAACGCCAGCAATGAAACCCCAGCTATCAGCAGATCTGGTCTAGATCTCTAGATTCCTGACATCAAACCTAATGTGCCCAAATGCTCTTTCTTTCCTTGCTCCTTATGCACGTAAGCTGGTGGAAGACCCAAGAAGTCTGTGGTCAAGAACACAGACCAACCCGAAGCCCCCCATAGCTATGTACTACATAAACACCCAGGCATTCCCATGCCAGATCAATTACAGTGGAAACCTGTCTGGGGATTATTACTGCTGAGAAGTCAGTTTGACTTTAAAAAGTTACAGCACTGTTTCCTTAACCTCAGATGTAATGAATTAATCAGAGGACAAATGGTTCCTATAGAACAGCAAAGCTGCCCTACACGGCGGGGGGGGGGGGGGGTGTTCTTTAACATGTGTAAAATGCTTCCAGTGTTATTTCTTGCATTTCTGTGCTGTAAGTATCACTTAGTTGATCTGCTAGTTGTTAGCAGATGCCAGATGTTAGATGTCAGTAAAAATCTCAGCAGCAATATGATTAAGAGCAAGGAAGGCACAGAACTTACTCATGATTTCGTGGTTTTCTGGAAGAAGTGGTGGGCAGGAGATAAGGCAGAGAGATATCAGCAGAGAGACCAGGTAGGGCCTTGCCTCTATTTACCTACGTTCCAGGCCAGTCAGCACTCATTACTTTGGTGAAGCCAAAATTTATTTGAACAGGAGGTGGCAGAGTATGCACTTGACCTCAGACACTAAACACTCAAGTTTTAAAAATACTGAATTGGGATGTCAGCTTGATTTTAGAGGCATTCGGTGAGCTCAATGCATAGATGAGAAGAAATCTTAAAGATTAACTTTTCATCACAGAAGCAAAAGGATTTAAAGAATGCCTATGGCTGGCTGGCTATGCCAGGCATGCGTCACTTGCAGACACCTGCCACTCCCTGCCTCACGCTCCATGGACTCCATCAATAGACATTACCTGCCTTGGCTGGTTGACTTTCGCTCCGGAAGACAACAGTAATCGAATAACATCCAAATAACCACCTTGGGCAGCTAGAAAGAGGGCAGTGGCTCCATCCTAAGAGACAACAAAGGTGTTGAGAAGTCATGTTCCATATTTATGTTAAAAAATAGATTCATACATTTGATAAAGTTTCCCATTTGCATCCCCTTTTATGCTTCTATCCTTTTGCTAATTAGGAGCTATTAGATAAACATACTGTAAGCATTTATTGCTTTTGTGTGTGTGTGTGTGTGTGTGTGTGTGTGTGTGTGTGTGAGCACAGGCCAGAGGATGGCCTCAGGTGCCATTCCTCAGGAAGACACTGTTCACTTTGTTGAGACAAAGTCTCTCACTAGTTTGGCAGTCATAGGCCTGGCCAGTGAGTCCCAGGAATCTGCCTATCTCATCTCCCAAGCATGGAAATATATGTCTAGGCTACCACACCTAGCTTATGAAGACCCAGGTCTTCATGCTTATAAGGCAAGAATTTTACCACCCAAACCATCTCCCCAGACCCCGTTTTGTGTTTTTATGAATCGGGATTAAGTCTCCTTTCTGGGTCTTTCCTACCTGCTTCTCTTTCTTGCTCCTTCATCTATGTCCCTTCAACATGCAGTTTCCCCAAGTACTGAAAAGCATGATGGCTCAGTGGCAGAGGCATGCCCAGCATGCACAAAGCCCTGGGGTTGATAGATCCCCAGCACTGGAAAGAAATGATGATTTTAGAAAAGCCACCTCAGAAAGAATCTCCACCAAGTTGCTCCCTGACAGTCCAGCAGACACCAACATCAACAAACACAAAAGGCAATCTTTCATAAAGCCCGATGCAAGGACTCCAATTTCCTTGAGGTAGGTAAGTAGGTAGGGGTGTGTGTGTGTGTGTGTGTGTGTGTGTGTGTGTGTGTGTGTGTGTGTTAGTGTGTGTGTTTCCTGAGCATTTTTTTTTTTCCAGAAACACGGTCTATAAATGTCTAAGGTGCATATATACCCACACAGTCACTTGGTGTGGCGGGCCAAACTTCACTCTTTCTACACTGTACTGGAAAACCTGAGCACATCCTTGTGGAACTAATACCCAGTGAGCCCAGCTAATTACCACACCTTGCTCTGGGAGCACTAACCACAAACTGAAACCCAAAACACCTTTCCCCACAAGCCCAACCAGGGGTGTTATCTGGAGGGTGCTGGATTTCCAGTGGGTGTTGGCTGAGCTGCCAGACTGCCGTCAAAGAAATCATACAAAGTGAATCACCCAGTACACATTTTAAAGCAGATGTTTGATTATGGGGATAAAAATTTTAACTGCTTCTTAACATGTTGCCACAGATAGTATCCATGCCCTTAACAGCTGCTAATTCAGTGGAATTTTCTGAAACACTAGTCTTGCACTGAATTTTTCACTGTGTATTTTAAGTTTCAATTCCCAAAAGTTTTCAGGGGTCCTTAACTCTTGTCCCCACTCTGTATTTCAATTGTTTTTAATATTTGGGCTGAGGAGTGGGGCAGCTATCTACACATGTGTATGCTTGGGGGGGGGTCTTCCTTCTGGTCCAACACTGCCAACATCGTGTTGACATATTTATTGGAGGTTGACCTTTGGGCCTCATGCTGGAAAACTGGTCCTGACTATAGATGTTACTGATCCGAACAGGGGTGATAGATCTTGTCCTCAGGTGATGAGACAGGCCATGCCTTTCAAATGCATGCCCTCACTGACCTCAAGTTTTCAAACAGTGCCTGCCAGAAGTATGTAGGAAAAGCCTGGGAGAAGGCTGGTATCAATATAAAATGGGCATCCACAAGATGGGCCCAGAAGATTGATGCCTGAAAAAGGAAAGCCAAGGTTTTAACAGTTTCAAAGTTATGAAGGTGAAGAGGACTAGAATAATGAGGAATGAAGTTAAGAAATGTCAAAGAACAGCTGTCATGAAAGCGACCCCCCACTCCCCCCAAAGCACACACTGCTAACACTCCCATTTCCATTCCTGCAGCAGCTGCTAGAGCCAAAATTCCAGCCCAAAAGGCAACAAAGGCCCTTGGCCAGAAGACCCCAGTCCTAAAGCATCTACTCCGAGGCAGCTCACAGGAAGCATAAGAGGCTCGAAGAAGGAATAAAGATTCTTTTTTGACATGTTTTTTAAAAAGAGAAATATTTGGACCATTTTACTTGAAGTAAAATGGAAGTGATAGTGCATGGAATTTCTTGAGTCACCTTATAACAGAGGAATTTACTATGACCCCCACCCAACTCTACATCTCTAAGAGCCTTCTGGAAGGATTTTATCTAACGAATATGATTCTATAGCCATAGTCAATTTGGAGTAACTATTAATGCTTATGATACGAAAAACACAACTTTCTATTTCCAAAGTCTTTGGCTTTTCCTAGTCAACTTATAGATATAAATAGCCATGTACACTCTTAGTACATCCTTTCAAATATTGCTATATATGTGTACCACATGCATGCAGTGCCTGAGGAGGACAGAAGAGGGCGTCAGATTCCCTGGAACTGGAGTTACAGCTGGTTGTTAGCTTCCTTGTGTGTGTATATATATATGTGTGTGTGTGTGTGTGTGTATTATACATATGTGTTAGTGTGTGCATGTGTGCTGATGTGTGGTTGAATGTGTATGTTCACATTGCTTTTGTCTTGAGATAGAGTCTCACTATGCAGCCTTGGTTGGCCTGGAACTTACCAGGCTGGCTTTGAACTCATAGAGATCTGCCTGCCTCTGCATCCTGAGACTACACCTAGCCACTTTGCTTTCTGAGATGGGGGTCTCACACTGATCCTAGAGTGTACCAGTTTGACTAGATGAACATGCCATCCTCCTGTCTCTGCCCCCATAGTGCTGGGATTACAGGTACAGAGCACAGAGCCTAGCTTTGTAGGTGGGTACTGTGGATCAAACACAGGCCCTTGTGCTTGCACATCAAATACTTCACCAACTGAGCCCTGTCTCCAGCCCCACCTATGTTTCTGAGACTTGGACACGTATTAGAACCTCCTCAGGTTGTAGTTGTGACTTTAGAAACTGGTTTGGTTGGCCTGGGGTGGTAGTGGCCTGGGGACTGGTATTTTGAAAGCTTTGAGGTGTGCCTAATGGGCAACCAGGGTTGAAGAGCACATATTAAGTAATCAGTCATCCTTCTGGTAATGCTGTACGCTCAAAAAGTGGTACAGATTTTGAAGTACCAGTGGGCAAGGCTAGCTGCTATGAACTTCAAAGAGGCTTAGGACTTGTCAGAGTTATCTAGGTCATCTCTGGAAAGGATATTCAAATGGAAACATGCTCACCTACATAGCCCATTACACGGCTATGAAAACACAGTGCCCTTAGCATAAGGGCTAACTGTCCACTTACAAGTTAGTCTAAGACACAATTCCTGGATTACTGGAACTAGGATTCCCCTCCCCTCCGCGAGACTCTGTCGTCACTTCGTCTCCCCTATTTTATTTTTCCGACAAAACCAGAATACATTTGCCATAAATCCTGTGGAATAACAGTGATAAAAGAGCCTTTGGGGGCTGTGCTAATTGCCAATTAGCTGAGAACAGACCTGCACTAGCAGCCGATCCCTTTCTAAGTTCTACCTTGTGCATCCTTCCCCAGGTCTTTACCCATCCAATCTCACTTCGCTTTTGAATACCTCAATTTCTCCTCTCTGTACCTTTCTTCACAAATAAGTCTACAGCAGGAGAGCATATTTAGGTTTTCACCAGGTCCGTACATACAATGGACTATATGGTTGGTCATGTTACACACAAATATGTATCATAAGAGTTTTTGACTGCATGGATATCGGAAATGTCTCAAATGTAACAGGTTTAAAAGGGAGAACAAAGGTGGGTTAACACATGGTTTCTAGTACACGGGGATCTCATCTTGTCAGCTCTGTCTTTGCCCCTTGACATCTCAGATGAAAGTCTCACTGTTCATTAAAAAAATACTTGAAAGTTAGCATTCTGACTTTTGAATATAGATTGCAAAGTTAGGTGGGATAACGGAATGGGCAAGTGCCGCTGGCTGTCTCCTTGAAACTCACATAAAGTTGGTCATGGATGTTAGCTCCATGTTTCAGTAGGGTCTCCACCACTTGCATGTGCCCGTACTGACTAGCAGCCAATAAGGCAGTGCCCCCGTCCTATGGAATGAAAGGATAAATGCATTAGAGGTGATGCAGCTTGTGTGTTACCAAGCCTGAACTCTCCACACAGAATTTGGAAGAGAATCTTCCCATAGATAGTAAAGTCACTTTCCTCTGTTATCTCTTTTACCTTTTACTATTTGTTTTTCTTTAAAGATTTATTTTATTTTTTATTTGTGTGTACATGTTCGTGTCTGTGTGAGTGTATGTATGCCATGTATGTGTGGGTGCACTCAGAGGTCAGAAGAGTGTATCAGATCTGTGGAGCTGGAGTTATAGGCAGTTGTTGGCTGTGGCTGCTGAAAGCCAAACTCGGGTCCCCTGGAAGAGCAGCAAGCACTCAACCAGTGAGCCATCGCTCCAGCCCCTTACTGTTTCTTTATAATCATGAAAGAGGACATTTTAAGGACATGAGCATGTTGTACCCTTGGATGACTTGCTAGGGACATAATACAGTCATCTCAGTAAGTTATTATGATGAACTTAAAAGATTCCCTGCACAAAAGGAAGAACCACCCATTTGCCTTACAATACGGGAAGTGAAGTGCAGAAATCGCTGGCCAGTACTGTCAGTTCCATCTTGTAATCACCAAAAAGTCTTCCATGGCTTCCAACCAGAGGCCCTTTTGACAGCCACTGATTTTCCCCTGTGGTGCTACCAGTTATAAACCACCGAGTTTAAGGTGCTTAACCCACTTGGCCATTGCTTTCACGGGGCAAGAACTGCCTCCGGTAAAGGAGCAGATGATGACAGCATCACATGCTTCTTCTTGTCCTACTTAGCATTTTCCAAACATGTGCCAATTTGTCTGGGTGTCTTTTAAAGTATAGGCCCCGAAATGAAGCAGAACACGGTAAAGTAACTGCGCTCTAATGTGGAACGGGGCATTCCTTTGTTCCGTCAACTCTACTTTTATCTTTGCAGCTGAAATTAGAACGAGCTCTTATGCCACCACATCACACTACTGACTCACTGAGTCTGCACTCAATGAAAACCATTAATAATTTTTCTCAGGTGTTACTTGTGAGACATTATCTTTTCCCATCTAGGATTGTTACTTGATTCTGAACTGCTATGCAGACTTTTAAGCTAATTATGAATAACTCAAGATCATGCAACTCAACTCAAAAATAGGAATAATAAACACGATAGTACAGTTCTAAGTTTGGGCATAGGGTTTCTATTCAAAGAAAATTTTACTTTCAGAAGGTCTGATTCAGAGAAAAAAGGCCTTTTAACTAGTCGTGTGGGGTGGCTGTCAAAGGCAGGTGGCCTCACCTGTAGAACCTCTGCTAAATTAGCTCTTATGTTTACAGTCAAAGTGACATCCTGGTGCATAAGAGTAGCCAGAGGCGGCTTCCCAGAGGGACTCTCTGATGAGGAAGGATACTGAGCTAGGCCTTGAAGGAGGCGGAACAGAGAGGGGCAGAAAGCTGAGTGCTGGCAGTGTGAGGGAGATCAGGATCTTCCTTATCAATGAGCATTCCTTTTTCCAAGCTCTGTCCTGTCAATTTTCCTATCTCACTGCCTAAGAGAACAGTAAAATACAGTAATTATAGTAGAAGAACTAATCTTATTAATTGAAAAATATTTTTAGAGGACAAGTTTTATTGAGTTAATAGCAAAGAGGGTGGCTGTTGAAACAAAGTTCTGATGACAGGTTCATATTAAAACTCACAACTTCTTAACATTCACTTCTTCTCATGGAACACTCTTCCAACACCTGCAGCTGATCTCATGGAATCATGGAATTGTTTATCCTGGGCCTTGTGTTCTATGGATTTCTGAGATGGCACAAATTGGCTTCTGCATAAATGCTTAAAGCCAGTATTAACTTGTTAATGAAGAAGATGACTGGTCACACATAATCATTTGACTTAGTTCTAAGGGTTGAGACTTAGGTTCAGTGAACTTCCTACTTTTAGTTTTAACACTTTGTGTGTATGTGTGGTGTATGCGTATAGGCAGGTGTGTGTTGAGGGTACGTACACTCATGTATGTGGGTGTGTGTGGAGGCCAGAGATTGACATCAATCGCTGCTCCACCTTATTTTTTGAGACAGGGTCTCTCACTGAATCTGGAGCCCACCATTTTGTTTACACTGCTGGCCAGCCAGTCAGCCCCCAGGAACCACCTGTCTCCACCTCTGAGGTTAAAGATGTATGGTATGGTACCTGACTTTTAAATGGGTGCTGAGGATATGAACTAAGAACTCATGCTTACACAGTAAGCACTATACCCACTGAACCATTTCCCCAGCCCCAACTATATCAGTTTTATAATGAAAAAATAAAACAATAATTAATATAAATATGTATGTGTATTTTGTATTATAGTATATCATGTTCAGGATGTTTCAAGGCATGCACACAATCTACTAAACAGGTTTTAGAAAAGGCAAACCCTAGATGCCAATCAGATCTACTTACTTAGCATTTTATCAGGGAAAAAATCCACTGGAAACTCCCTTGGTATCTAAATATCACATAAGATGGATTAAGAAAATCTAGTTTCCAACTCGGACAAATTTTCAGGAAGTTTTATTATTATGAGTAGACCAGAAGTGAGCTGACAATTATAAGAATCTTTTGCAGCTCAAATTTTCCTACTACAAAACATTCTGAAAAATCACTGTGCACACAAAATTCACCTTTTTTTTTGCAGTGTTTTCTTATCTGTATGTAAAAATGAAAATCAAAACCTTCTTAAGGGCTGAAGAGATGGCTCAGTGGTTAAGAGCATTAGCTGCTCTTTCAGAGGACCCAGGCTTGATTCCCAGCATCTACATGGTGGTTAAGACCATCTGTAACTTCAGTTTCAGGGGATCTGATGCCCTCTTCTGGCCTCTGCAAGCATTGCACACATGGTACACTTACATACATGCAGGCAAAAACACTCATACACATAAAATTTTTAAAAAAGATTAATTAATAAAAAATTTAAGGAAGAACCACAACTCCTTGCCCAACTACGTGAACTATAATTCTATATTATATATTGTACATAATATATATAGCGAAAACCCATGAAAGCAAGCTGCCTGTCTAGTAGTTGTCTTCAGAAACTTCCAGATTCATCAGGGCCAAGTTAATACTTCCAATAATTGCTATTATAGTATCAGGACTAATCTTGAAACAGAATAAAACACAGAGAAACAGGAAATGTTTATAAAGTTTAGTGTCCCGAGTAGAAAGTAAACACTGTAAGAAAGAATTTAAGTAGTTCCCCATGAAATTCTCCAGTTTTAGTCCAGAGCCAAAATGAATTGCTTAGAATGGAATCCGAAGAATGGCCCATGAACCTCCACAAGTAACCAAGCGAAATCTACTTCCTTGGGCTTCAGAATCTTCTAAAGAGGGAAACACAGATTTGTGCTGCAGATAAGGAAAAAATGAATAGCCAAGCCTGCTCAAATTCTTCAGCAGGGTATGAAATCAAGAACTCAGTTCTCTTACTTTGGTCCTACATTCAGTGGATGCTCCGAATCCAAAGAGAAATCTCACTACATCATTATGGCCTTGCTGGGCAGCAAAGAACAGGGCAGTTGTACCTGACTGGGAGAGGGGGGAAGGGAGAGGGAGAGAGAGGGAGAGAGAAAATGGTTTGAAGAGACATTTAGTGAAATTATATTTTCAAATAACACAAAACAGTATTCCTGCACATATACTTGTTAGCTTAAGAAGGGGCTACCTTTGGTCTGTTGCTATTTCTTGGTGAGAGGAATTATAACATGAAAAGCAGATTTTATTCGTGGTATACTAGGATGATAGTAGCTCCCAAAAGGATCAGATCTCATCCTAACTCAGGAGTGTGTCACTATCACTCTATATGGCAAAGGAGGAAATTAAGGATTTTGAGAGGAGGAGCCCATCCTGGATTTCCTGGCTCTCAATCCAATTACAAGTGTCCTTTTAAGTGTGAGAAAGAAAGCTCGCTGTTGTGGCATACGGCTGTAATCCCAGCAGTCAGGAGGCTATGGCAGGAGGATTGAAAGTTTGAGGCCAGCTTGGGCTACACAGTGAACACATCATCTCAAAAATCCGAACCAGGGGCTGGAGAGATGGCTCAGTGGTTAAGAGCACTGGCTGCTCTTGCAGAGGACCCAGGTTCAATTTCTAGCACCCACATAGTAGCTAACAACTGTCTGTAACTCCAGTTTCAGGGGAACCTGATGCTTCTTCTGACCTGTGAGCATTGCACGACATGAGTGCACTTACATGCATGCAGGCAATACAACCATACACATAAAATAAAAATAATAAATAAAATCTTTAAAAATCCAAACCTAGCCAAATCAAAGCAAATTTAAAATAAACAGAAAGTGAGAAAGAAATATTACAACAGCTGAAACATGGAAGGAATGGAAATGCCCATCTGTGGATGAATGGTTAAGCGAAAGGTACTACAGCCTTACAATGGAAGAATATTATTTACCTTAAAAAGGAAGGAAATTATGGCGGATACTGTGACATGAACAAACCCTGAAGATTTGTTACATGAAACAAACCTGTCCCAAAGGGACAGATACTATTTGATTCTACTAAGGTATCTGAAGAACTCAAGTTCATAGAACCAGAAAGTAGGATGATGGTGGCTGACAGCCTGAGGAGGGAGGGATGGGAACTTCCAGCTTTACAAGTTAGAAAGAGTTACAGAGATGGAAGGTGGTGGGTGGTTGCACAGCACCATGAATGTATTCATGCCACTGTAATTACACATTTTAAAAATGGTTAAGATGGTAATTTTTCCATATATTTTATCACAGCAAAAAATAAAAAAATAAAAAGAGTGGTGCAGAGGGATATTTGACAGAGCAGAGGCAATGTGACCATAGACACAGTGACTGGAGTGTTGTGGTAATAAACCACAGACCACTGCAGCACCAGGTACTGGAGGTAGCAGAGTGGAGATCACCCTGTAGCCTGGGAAAGGCATGTCCAACCTTTTGATATTGTCTCACACAACATGTCATCTGTAAATTTCACGCTCAAGAACTGTGCAAATGGCTTACCAACAAAAACTCATACTATATACTAGTTTAAGTAAGTTTATGATTTTGTGTTGGGCCATACTCGTAGTTATCCTGGGGTGCATGTGACCTGGGGGCCAAGGATGCACATGCTTGCAGGGCAATGAAGTCTTGCCTACACTTTGATGCCTACACTTTGGACTTCGGGTCTCCAAATCTCTAAGATAATTAATTCTGATTTTTTTCTGTCTTTTTTTGAGACAGGGTCTCCTTGTAGCCCCAGCTGTCCTGGAACTCACTATGTAGACCAGGCTGGCCTTGAACTCACAAAGATCCGCCTGTCTCTGCCTCCCAAGTGCTGGGATTAAAGGCGTGTGCCACCATGCCCGGCTAATTCTGATTATTTTAAGCCACCATGTTTATGGCAATTTCTTAGAACAGTCACAGAAACACATATATTTGGTGTAGTGAAACAAAAACAAAATCCAAAAGAATCCACAAAATAATAATTCAAATAATTTACTCAGAAAATTTCCAACTAGAACTCTGAGCAGAATGAGTTCAAAATATTTCTCAAAACTGGATATATTATTTAAAAATAAGTCTGAATTCACATTTGAAAAAATTTAATGTTTTATTTATTTGTTTTTATGTTATGTGTATGAGTGTTTTGCCTGCATGTATGTAAGTGCACCCATGCATGCAATGCCTGAAGAAGCCAAAAGAGGGTGTCAGATCCCTTGGAACTGGAGTTACAGGTGGTTGTTAGCTGCCATGTGACTGCTGGGAACCAAACCCAGGTCCTCTACAAGAGCAGCCAGTGCTCTTAACCACTGAGCCCTTTGATTCACATTTTCAATCATCCAATCATAATATTTTTAGCTTTCTGTATAAGCCTACTCAAAGACTGGCACCCACCATCATGTCACATGAACAAAACCACCACACCACTCTAGTGGCAATATACATTTTTCCTGTGCTATTGCTCTCATGAGGACTAGCTGGGAAGAAGAAGGTGGTCAGCAAGAGTAGGAGGGGGATAAGAGAGGGTAATGCTGAGTGAATATGATCATGATACATTACATACATGCATGAAATTGTCAAATAAAGATACTCATCATTGGTTTCAGATGAAACCAATACAATACTTCCCCAGTGGCAGGGAAAAGAATCCTCTTTCCAGAGCTCAACTGGGACTGTGCAGGTGACAGATTCTGACCCAGGCATGGGAGGCCGAGGAGAGCTTGTCCCATGCTGTGGACTATACTGATCAGTCTGAGACTTGTTCTTAAGGGAAGAGGAGCATGTGGGATGGGAGAGCAATGAGGCCCACCACTGCGACATAACATCTTACACCTTCCCAGATAGATGCCTCTACCTCCAGCTGTGTGCCCCAAGAGGAAAGGTGACCTGATCATGCCCATCGGAGTTTGCCATGGGTAGTTTTCTTCATGCTTCCTGCAGATTGGAGCAGGAAGCACTCTCCCACTGTTCTGTGACAGTGAAGGGTACCAGGCTCCAGAGGATTTGTAAATAGGTTTTGAATCAGAAAATTTGCACCTTCTTGAATAACTTTTAGAAGGTACCCAGGGTTCTTTCTGGAAGTTGTTTCTTTATTAAGAGAAAGGATTTGTTTTCCAGTAAATTTCATGATACATTAACTAAAAATTATGACTATATAGCAGTTTGAGCCAATTTTGGAACATATAAGTGATCAGCCATGTATATGGATATTGCCATCCCTAGCTAATAGGACTTAGAATTGAGTCTGGAAGGTAAACTAAGTCTTAAATGTATGTTCTGTATATGGACTGAGGCCCAGGGCTTCAGGCAAACTCCCCTAGTACTACCTATACCTGACAGCTTTAGTCAGCCGCTCTCTCTGGGTCTCTATGGTACCTGTCAGGATCACTGGTCTTCAGTTGGTCTCTCTAGCTAGGTTTTGTATTTAAGCTAAGAAAACAACGGCAGGTATGTTTTTGGAAAAATTCTGATGCTGAAAATGGATTAACAGTGTAACAAGGTGTCAGTCTGCTGTGAAAGTGCTGCAAGGCACTCTGGTCTGCTTCCACAACTAGTCAGTCAGTGGGGCCTCCCTTTGGGCCAGCATTTCTATTGCCTCAGGCTGGCCTGGGCTCAGGAAATTTGAGGGGCTTCCAGAAACTTTAATAGCATCATCATGTGAGACACAGTTTACCTCTAAGCCGAGTGTCCTTCAGTGAAGCCCTCAAGGGCTACTGTTCTCAGGGAACAGGAGTTTTCTTGAGCCACTGGTACCAAATGAACAGATGAATATAAAACCACAAGACCATACACTGACCAGGAAGCAAATGTCTCTCTCCTCAGCTGTTCTGAAGATGTTTTTGTACATGATGGACCTGCCCTTTGGGACACAATTTTTGGGTAAGCAGATCTGGACTGCATTGCTGTTATTAGAGAAAAATCTGTTTTTTGTTCTAAAACTAAAATAAAGACTGAGAGAGGGAGAGAGAGAGAGAGAGAGAGAGAGAGAGAGAGAGAGAGAGAGAGAGGAGGGCAATTTTAAACTACATTTCTAAGTGGGTTCAAACATTTTCATCCCAGAGGAAAATTTCATTTCAGCTGCCGAAGTGAAAAAGGCCTGAAACAATGGTCTAGTGTTAGGGAATTGCTTAAAAGAAGTTGTGAGAAGATGGACTGAATCTGCTACCTTCTCCTTATACTGCTTCTCACTAGACCAGCCTTGCTCCACCAAGGCTGTGGGCCAAGGGTTGTTCTTTCATGGTCTACGGCCAAGGCCTCCGACATATAGAGGGAGACAAAAGGGACTACTACATGTATCTTGGAACTTGTATCTGTGTGTGGTGTATGTGCATGTATGTGTACATGGGAGTGCACATGGAGGCCAGAGGTTGATGCTGGATTCTTTCTGCTATTGCTCTCCACTTCCTTTTGTAATGGGTTCTCCCACTGAACCTAGAGGTCACTGACTGGCTAGACTGACTGGCCAGTTAGCTCTGGAGAGCTACTTGTGTTCATTCCCTACCCTTTCCAGTGCTGGGGATCTGAACTCAGGTCCTCGTGATTCTTACACAGTAGGCACTTTACCAAGTGAGCCAGTACCCCCACCCCTGCCCCAGCCTTGTATCTTGGAACTCTTGACATCACCCTTAACAGGGATGGTGGGCCATCATGGAAGGATGGGGTATACTGGCTTTGTGAAAGTTTGGGTTGATGAATCATCTTTCTAAAATATATGAAAGGCAGATAGATCTTGGGATCCGGCTATATAAAACAAAATCAGGGGTCCAGTCTAGTTTGGAGCTGGTCCAGGACACCATCTCATTCCCGGGTCTGTGTGAAGTGAGAGGCCAGAATCACTCTCAGAATGACCAGGACATATATCTCCATAAAGCCTGATTTAACCAGGTCCTACATCAAGTTGGAAATATATGGAGCCTCCCCAGACCTGACCTCTGAAATGTGTTAAAGTGCCCCAGCCTCCCTGTTGCTACTTTAGATTGGGCCAAGAATGGATCCTCTGGTGAGACCAACCTCTCGAGGTTGGCCTGAATGGAGGGTGAGCACCTGCTCACATTTCACTCCAAAGCTCACCTCCATAACTCTTTGCGAGAAACTTACTTGGCCAGAAACTTACATGGCCAGACAGAAAAGTTCTTTGTAAACATGGTTTGGTGAGGACTGAGATGTCCTAGCAACTTAGCTTCATTGTGAATAAGCTGGTGAATGAAAATACAATGACATATGGGAAAGTCCTATAAATTCCATGGCATCTCATCCCAAGGAAAAAAGAAAGTATTTATGCCTGAAAATAAAAATACATTAGTGTTTAAGGAAAGTAGTAAGGGGCTTGGTTACTGGTATGGACCAGATATGGCTTGAAAATGTCCTCCAAAGGTTCACATGATAGAATCTGGATGCACAGTGTGATGGTACTGAGGTACTGGAACCTTCAAGAGGTAGGGCCTAGTAGGAGGTAATTAGGTCACTGGTTGGTACAGCTTTAGAAAGGATTAATGGTGGCCTCATGGAGTCATTAGTGCATTAGTGGCTAGTTAGAAAGGGAGGGTGTCTTGTGTGCTTGGTCACATTTATCTTTCCTTTTCTGTATCTCCATCATGTTATAAGGCAGCCAAAGCCACTTGTATCAGAGGCCAAACAGATGGAACTCCTCGGTCTTGGACTTTTTGCCCCCAAACTGTGATTAAAAATACCTAGAATCAGTTATTCTGTTACAGTAACACAAATGGACTGATGCATATCAGATACAGATATGTTTGATGATGGTTCATTAACTTAGGCATAGTAAACTCTGCAACAGGATTTACTGTAGGAGCAAAGCAATGACAACTCTGTCTCTTTATCAATTCGTTATCATGAAGACTTCAAATCTCTTAACTTGGTAATTTTTATTTATATGAACAACTTGACCTACCTCTCTCTGAAGGTTGATGTCTGCTCCTTGCAGAACCAGTTCCCTCACACAATCTATGTGGCCAGCATAGGAGGCAACCATGAGGAGTGTGGTCCCATGCTGGATGGAGGAGAAAGAGATGAACAGTTATGCCCCCATTACAGTAGGAAGTTCTGGGAGGAGAGACTGCAGACATCACATTGGTTTCACCCAGATGTCTAGAGTGCAAGATCTCTTGTGGTGGTAAGAGTGGCTCATGAATAATCCTATAACGCCGACTAGATGGGAAAAGGGAACTGACAAATTGCTGAGGCTGGAATTGTGCAAATGACACATTTATTGACATCCATTACCTTCAGAAACAGTCCAAGTGGACATCACTACTGCATTTTAAGCCAGCAGTGATGCAGCACTGTCATTTTATGATTCACACTAAATGATTCTTGAGCCCAAACACTGCTATTAATGCAAAATGAATTGAATGGGACTAGCTGATCTCTTGAATTTACAAGTAGTTTTTTATTCTCCGACAGTTTCATACATGTATACAATGTATCTGGATCATATCCCATCCTAAGACCACTCCCCTGTGTCCAGGCACCCCAACACATCTCCTTCCCACCTTCATGTCTCCTTTTGTTTTGTAGCCCACTGAGTGTAATTAGTGAATCTAATCAGTGCTGCCTGCTGAAATACTGGTTGATCTTGTTGCAGGTCTTGTGAAGGTAACCACAAATGCAGAGTTCATGCATGCAACAGCCATGTCATGTCTAGAAGACAGCATTTGAATTTAGAAGTTGTTTAAATTGTTTTTTTAGAGAGGGTCTCACTATGCAGCCTTGGATGGGCTGGAATTCCCTAAGTGGACTTGGGTGGCCTTGAATTCACAGAGATTCATTTGCCTCTGCCTTCCTGAGTGCTGGAATTAAAGGTGTGTGCCACCACACCTGCTTGGCTCTATTTTTTTTAAGGCTGTAATCCCATCAACTTGGGAGGCTGAGACAGGAGGGTCATGAGTTCAAGGTCAGCATGGGCTGCATAATAAGACCTTGTCTCAATTTTTTTCTAATTTTTATTTATTATTATTATTATTATATTTTGTCTTTTTGAGACAGGGTCTCCCTGTAGCCCCAGCTGTCCTGGAACTCACTATGTAGATCAGGCTGGCCTTGAACTCACAGAAATCCACCTGCCTCTGCCTCCCAAGTGCTGGAATTAAAGGCGTGCGCCACCACGCCCAGAAAGAAAAGGTTTTAACCCAAATTTAAGCATGAACATTAAGGAAGGGAGGAGAGAGAAAAAGAGGGAGGGAGAGAGAAAAGAATTTAACACACTCAAGTATGGAAGTGGGTTTCACAGAAGAGTGGTCTAGTTTTTAATTATTTGAATTAAAAAAAAAATCAGACCTGTATTTAGAAATTTTTTTCAGAATGATTCAGGTAAAGAAAGGCACCATGATGAACCGAGATTTCAGTACTGAGAGTTAAGGATCATGGAGACTAAGTAGTCAAACAATAGTGTAGCCTAGAACTTGTGGCTTACAATTACTGGACTCATTTATTTCATATTTAAAATAAGGTGTCCAGTCGATGATCACCAAGGTCTATTCTAGCTACAAGATTCAAGCTCTTGGACGTGGGAGTGTTGCTCAATAGCAGGATATGTGCTTAAGAAGCAAAGAAAAAAGACTCAAGGGCTTGAGATATAATACAGACCCTTCCAATTAAATTGGGCTTTTACAGTTTATTTTTTATGAATTGAAATTATACTATTAACCACTACCTCTGTATATTCAGTGCCCTTCCTCCCATGAGGCTGATGAGGGAGATAGTCTGCATATGAGAAAGACTCATGAGGTACATGGTCACAAAGTGAATTTTAGATATTTTGTGTTACTTCCATCTGTGGTCACTGACAGGAGGATCTTAGGCAGACTCTGAAAATTTTCAGCCTCATTTTTTTCACCTGAAAACAATATAATTTGGGCACAGCATAGTAATAGTAGATATTAATTAGATAAGTATTAGCTACTAAAATCATATTTTGGTAGTTTAGCAAATGTCAGGGCAACATCTGGTTTGTGTGGACCTCTGTGAATGGCCATGCTGGTTTGGAAAAAATCTTACTCATTTGTGATGCTGAATATAGAGGGTCAAGAAAAGCTAATGATAAGGATTACTCTGTGATATCCCATCCCTATGACCTCTGGTTGCCTGAACCTTTCGTAGGCTGCACCATTCATTACTCAGTTGAACTCCATCCTCTACAGTCTCCAGGACTGGAGTGGCAAGCTCACCATTACTAACTTCCTCCTGAATGTGAACAATTGTATTTAGACAGGAAATAGGAGACTCCTTGGTGCTATGGTCCAAATGTGTCCCTCCAGAATTCCCATGTGGTGGTGTTAAGAGACAGGCATTCTAGGAAGTGATTAAGTCATGCGGATTTGCCTTCATGAATGGGATTAGTGCTCTTATGAAGTAATTTGAATGGAGCTGTTGCCCTGTTCCACAGAAGGAATTTTCATCAGATATCCAATCTACAGGCACTTGGATCTTGATTTCCCAGCCTACAGAACTGTGAGGAATAAATTTCTGTTGTTTATGAACTACCCGGTCCAACATATAGCACCTTAAATGGACCAAGACTCTTAGTTTAAAGCACAATTTGTTCAAATAAGCTATGTATATATCCTTTTACATGAGAGGTAAGAAATTACACCCCCCAACTTATTTATAATCACGTCGTATTGCTTTCAAAATAAAAGTTCAAAAGTACCAAGCACTTAATTTGGATATTTAAAGAGAAAGACAGCTAAGAGACATGGCTCAGCAGGTAGGAGAGAACCCTAGTTCAGTTCCCAGTACCCATGTTGGGCAGCTCACAATCACCTGTGACTCCAGGTACAGGGGATTTGATAACTTCTTCTGGCTTCCAAGAATACCTGAGTGCATGTACACACACACACACACACACACACACACACACACACACACAAAAACGTCTTTAAAAAAATGAAAAAAAAAGTTAAAAAAATCAAATATTTAAAAGGAAAAGACAAAACCAAACTGTTGGGTTACTCTGTTTTAAAGAAAAGATGAATGAAATAAAGCGCTGCTTTATAGATTGTCTTCCAATTCTGTTCATGGTCAGTTGAAAAAAAGACTGTCTCAATAGAGAAGTATTACAGTATGCTATACAATAACATTTCCTTTATATTTATAATCTATCAGATTGATGGATTTTTTTATTCTTTAAAGATTATTTCATTTGATTTAAAAAGCATCTTTTAAAAATGAGTTTTTTTAATTTGCTTATTTTTTATAAATTATTTTTTATTGATTTTTTTGTGAATTTCATACAATACAACCATATTTAGACCCCCTACCCTATCTTTACCCCTCCATAGTCCCCCCACAAATTTTTATGCATTCTGTCATATGTGTTAAGGCCTACCGAACCAAGTTTATGTCCCCAAATAACCCTCAATGTGAGTCCATCCATTGGAGCCTGGTTAACCATTCTCATATCACTCCCTTAAAGAAAACCAATTCTCCCGCTCCTAGTAGTCATTGGTTGCCAATAGTTTCTTGGCTAAGGTTGGGGCTTCTTACCCAGTTCCCTACTTCTATGCTGGGCTTTTGTCTAGTTTGAACTTGCATGGGTCTTGTACATGCCGTTACCATTGCTAGGAATTCATAATGAGTAACTTCCTCGCTGTCTGGAAACCACTGTTTCCTCATGGTCTTCCTCCACCCCTGGCTCTTACAGTCTTTTTCCTCCCTCTTCTGTAATGGTTCCTGAGCCCTGGGTGGAAAAACTGATTTCTAACGGAGCATATATAAAATAGTTGTGGTGGTTTGAATGAGAATGTTCCCCATAGGCTCCAAGTATTTGAGCATTTTGTCCTTAGCTGGTGGTGCTGTTTGGGGAAGTCTTAGAAGCTGTGGTCATGCTGGAGGAAGCATGTTACTGGGGGCAGGTTTAGAGAGATTTTAAGCCTTGCTAGAGCTCAAGTTGCTCTCTGCTTCCAGTGCCTGCTTGAAGATGTGAGAGCTTAGCTTCTGCTCCTACTCCAGCCATCTGTTGCCATGATGGACTCTTGCTTCCTTGGAACTGTAAGCTAAATAAATTCTTCCTTTTACAAGTTACCTTGGTCATGGTGTTTCTATCACAGCAACAGAAAAGTAGTAACTAATACAATAATGTAGCTCCAAACAAAAAGACAGTGAAATACATAAAACATCTAAAAAGGGCTATAAGACTCTTGCCATTCACATCAATATGGTAAACTTGTATTAGATAAATAAAGGGAAAAAGTAAACATGATATAAAGGCAGCATTAATTTAGGATCCAGCCAGGCTGGACTCCTTAGTTGGAGTCCACCCTGGGCTACAAAACAGGTTTCAGGGAAGCCTGAAAATATTAAAAATCTAGGAACCCTAGATGAACAAATGTTACTAAGTCAAAGCTTTTATTGTACAGTGAGTGGCCTAGAGATTGTTCTTTACAATGTTGTTTGTTGGAAAAGTTTCAATATAATTACACTGAGGTTAAGAACAATTACCAAGAAAGCCCTAAGGGGCTGCTCTACATCCTAATGGTCCCCATATATTTCCTAGGTGATCCTGGGGTTTAATCCCATAGGCAAAGGCATTATCAGCCTAGACATCAGTCATCATTTTAAGAAACCATCCAGGAACCAAGATTCCTGCCACACAGAGGAGGCAGATGTCCAGCCAGGACATTCCAAGAGGAACAAAGGCCTGTACTGTCTCCACATATCTTCTCGTCCCTCAGTCACGATGTCTGAAACGACCATCATTTAGATGTGTTCCTTGGGCTAAGGAATTTTCCAATTCCCTTTTTGTTGCTGTGATAAACACCATGACCAAAAACAACTTGGGGGAGGAAAGGATTTATGTGGCTTATACTTCCAGGTCACAGTCCGTCAGTAGGGAAAGTCAGGGCAGGAACTCCAGGTGGGATCCCAGAGAATGCTGCTTGCTGACTTATAGGCCCATGCTTAGCCAATTATACAGTCAAAGCCCCCCTTATCTAAGGATGGTACGGCCTATAGTGGGATGGGCCCCCCATATCAATCATCAATCAAGACAATGCCCCACAGACTACACAGACTTGTCCACCAGACAATCTAATGGGGACAATTCTTTTTTTGTTTTTTTAAAGTCAGCTTTCCTTTTCTTTATAGTTTTACTGAATTTTTGTACATTTCATATACTACATCTTAATCATATTGGGACTCCCGCTCCTATCCCCCCCATAGCCTGCCCAAAGGACTTCATGCATGCTGTCATATATGTTAAGGCCTATTGAGTCAAATTTATGTAGCCAGATATCCCTTGGTGTGGGGAAATGGGCAAGAAGCCCCAACCTTAGCTGAGGAACTATTGGCAGCTGATCACTGCTGGGTGAGGGAGAGTCGATATTTAAGGGAATGACACTAGATAGGCTGACCTGGCTCCAGTGAATGATGGGGGAAATTCTTAAATCAAGGTTCCCTCTTCACCACTGATTATAAGTTATGCCAAGTTGGTAAGAAAAACTAACCAACACAGGAATCATCCCTCCTGAAATCTCCCAGTTAAAAGACATTTAACTTTTATTTGTTATTTATTATTATTTGCATATGGTGTGTGTCTTGGCATGCACATGCTATAGCACACATGTGGAGGTTAGAGGACAACTCTGTGGAGTCAGTTCTTTTAACTTTTGCATGGAACATGGTTCCAGGCATCAAACTCAGCTCATTAGGCTTGTGTGGCAAGTGCTTTTACCTACTGAGCCATCTCACCAGCTCTGAAATTTTAAAGAGGGGTATTAATTCATTAGTCAAATATATTAGTCTATTCATGGGAGCAAAAATTTTGCCCCACATAGCTGCTGGTAAGACAGAGGTACAGTGTGAGCTCCATGGGAAGGAGATGGTAGCATAGACAAATTAGGGCACTGGAAGGGCTGAGCGTGTCAGTGCTCAGAGTGACCCTGAGGAGCTAAGTCAGGAGGATGTCACAGGAATGTCAAACAGGGATGATGTGAAGGAAAAGTAATCACCCAAGTGGTCAGAGATAAAGGCCACAGGTGATAACCAAGCCCTATCCCACAGTGTTGCTTAGTGTGGGACAGGAACTGGTCCAGTGAGACCCCAAGTCAGACCAGGATGGCAGGTCACAGATGCCCAGAGTTCCTTGTAAGTCTGGGTTCTGACAAAGAACAGATGGTATGTTCAAACTGGGATAATTAGAAGGAAAACAAATAAAGAGACTATTAAAAAAGTGGTCTGGGTTTTGAAACTAAAATGAACAGTGTAGTTCTGGGAGTTAATGACTGTGGGGCTCTGAATGGCCAAGTTTGAAGGGGTAAAGGGAATGTAATGGCTCCCAGGACAGAGTGTGAATGTCACAGCCAGATGAACAGGGACACTGGCCTCTCTGACACTTTCGCCTCCATCCTCTGACTCCTGCTGATGTTCACACTGGTCAAACTCAACTGGAGGCCAGAGGAAGGCAGAGCTCTGGGGCATTTCGTATGATTGACTCTGGGACACAGAGCCAGGCAGAGAAAGGTACAGGATGGATCTGCAGGTTCATGGGGGCTAGAGCAAACTCTGCTATCCCCGTCTTGGTGGGTTTCACTTAGCAAATCTGTACATCAAAGATGAAAATGGCACTTCCTGTTTTGAGGAAAACACTCTGATTTTGATTCAAATCACAAAATCATTTTCTCTTCTGGGGTCCGTCGCCACTTCCTGTTTTGAGGAAAACACTAACTCTGATTTTGATTCAAATCACAAAATCATTTTCTCTTCTGGGGTCCGTCTTACCCCTGGGGGATCTGGAGATGTCTTGCTGCTAGGTGGTAGGGAAAGGGCTCTCTAGGTGGGACCTGCCATAGGCCACTACATCTATTTTAATTTCTCCTTCTAACTTGCCATTAAGTGTCTTTGTTTGTACAGATGAAAGGACAAGAGGCTGGTGAAGGCTTCAGTTTCTCAGCTTCTGTAAATCTTGTGCGAAAAGCAAAACTCCTACAGCCATTGCAGCCCATGTGTGCTCCAAATTACCACCATCTTCTCATTTTTCACAGCAGTTTACTAAATATTTTTTTTCTTTCTAGAACTTGCCAATTCTGCTTCCCAGTAAAAGTCCCTAATTCCCTATGATGGCTGCCTTTTGTTTTGTGTGTGTTAACTGTTCCCTTTCTGACTTCCCTAGTGTGTTTTTAAGTTCACCACTATACCCCAGGACTCTGAAAGGATAAAGCAAGCTAAGGAACAAGTAATGAGCACTGTGAAGTGTACTGGTCAGGTGGTCTCATGCTGTGGATGCAAAGGCATGCTCTGGGCATGCAGATACCATGTCCCTCCGTACACTGTCTCTGCAGTCCACGTCCACACGACCGCTGTTCAACAGCAGCTTCAGCAGGGCCAGGTTTCCCCTCCTCGCTGCCCAGAACGCAGCGTTGGCAAGCGGAGTTTCCTTCTGCAAGAGTAAAACCAAACAGTCTTTAAACAGAGATCAGTGACCATGGCTGCTTTCCATGCACATAGATAAGACCATATAAAAGATGAGTGATACCATGTGCAAGGTTGCTCCCTCTCACCACTGATGATTGTAAAATACCAGGCTGTGGGAAATGTTTCATTTTATACCAAACTCCCAAGCCCACAGTGGTCTTCAGAGCAATGCTTTGATAATACAGCACTATGAAAGCCTCACTTCCCATCAACCACCTCGCTTTCCTGCTGCTGTTGGGTCTTTGTTCACAGTTTCCTTTGCTTGAAATGAACTTTCCCCCATCCAACAAGGACAAGGCTCTGCCCAAATGCTATTTCCTTCCTGACACATTCCAAATCACATTTTCCTTGTAAGTAGAGAGAAGTTTCTCCCCATTCTGACCTAATTGAGGTCACTGGCACTTTCTCTGTGTCTTCCACACTTCCCAACTGATCTCAGATATTGGGGTAAGCAACCTTCCTTCCACCTATTCTTTATTTCCCTTTAGCTGGAACTTGCCAGGGGTTTTGTTTGAGAACAAAGGACCTTGGGCAGAGAATGCCATTCTGTGTTCTTATTCCACTGTTGGGGCAAACCAAGCTTAGGTCCTATCTATGGGAGACACAGGACTGGAAAACAGATCTCTACGAGGAGTGGTAGAGCTGAATCCGTTCAGTTTCCTGTTCTAAAACAATTTGTTGTTGCTTTGTAGAGAAGAGTACTAAAGGAAGGGACTGGCTAGAGACCAGACAGCTCTGGGGTTCAGCAGGCCATACACAAGTGGCTTGGACCTTAGAAGTCAGTGATCTCTTCTTGCTCACATGGAGGTCACAATACCTGCCTTGTTTTCCAAAAGGATGAGATAATGTAGATTAATTGTCTCATAAGCACCTAGCTTCTGTATAGCTATTTTTTTTCTGAACTGAAACAATCCATCTTAGAGGGAAGTTCAGAAGACTCAGGAAGTAAGTAAAACTTAAAAGGTTCAGGAAGCTCCAGAAATGTACAATATCAACACAGCCCTTCCCGAAAGTTATATAAGAAGTAGCAACTGCTGGGGAGAGAAGACTAGTTAGCCAGGCTGCCTGCACATTGTACAGGGAGCTAGCTCCAAGGGTACAGCCTTGCTGAGTCACCATCTACTCTGGGGTGGGCTTTCAGGGATGCAGCTGCCTTTGGTCACCTGTAATCTTGTAAGTCACCCCAATAAGCTCACTGGTTTCACTAAGCTAGACAGGTAGAATTGTTTCTTTGGTTTGTCCTCAGTGCCTAATGTGGAGTGAATAGACATGTGTTCACATCCCCTCAGCAACACTAACCACAGATGACAAGTGTTAGTTTCCATCACTAACTACTGTACTTTACAAAGTCACAATTAATAGAAATTCAAAGTATTAGTACCATTGTAGAATTCTGATGGTCTCAGGAAAATTTGTAATATTCACATTGTTTTATAAAAGAACTTTGAGGACGTGTAAAAAAGTTCCTCTAACTGCAAAGGCCTTTTTTCAATATGTCTTTTAAATATACACATGTGCCAAATAATGTTTTGGTCAATGATAGACCATATATACCATACCATGATGGTCCCTTAAGAACCTAATGACACTCAGCTATCTTAGTTTACATACAGATGTTCTATGATTTTATGAAATCATCTAATGACCCATTTCTCAAAATGTGTCTCTACCATTAAGCAAAGGACAATGATATGTTTGTGTAGAACATATCATCTTAGCTCTGGTTGTAGTTACCCAAAGTCAAGAGTGATATGAAAATATGTAATGGAAAGTTCCAGAACTAAACAATTCACAAGTGTTAAACTGCATGCTGTTCTGAGTAATGTGATCAAATCTTGCACTGTCTCTCTTTCTTGTGTGGGATGTGGAGTGTATTCACACTGTATAGAACACCCCCCACTAGTCATTTAGCCCCTGCAATGATCATACCAACTATGCTTGTATCCAACCAGCCCTTACTTAATCAGCCCTGAACAGCAAAGCTGTGATGCAATGATGCTGGCAGTTTCATTACAGTATGTTGTTGTAACTGTTCTACCTAATTAATTTTTATCATTAATCTTTTACTGTGTCTAATTTAGAAGCTATCCTAAGTATGTATGTGTAGGAAAACAGAATATATAGGGTTTCTGGTGTCTACTTGGTAGATGAGGGCTTGGATAAAGTAAAGACTACCAAACTGTACTAAATAAGTGCTTCCCTCAGTTAAAAAGAAAACGCCATTAATCTCAGCTACTCAAGAATGCCATCTAAAATGAAAGCACTGTGCTGGCAGTATACTGACAGCATTTGCTGGCACGAGGATTTTATTTCAGAAGTCCTTCAGGGAACAGAAAGACAGATACACACAAGCTAGTGCTGACATACATAGCTGGGTGAGAAACTGGCAGGGTGAGGAGTGATAAGTGGGTCACAAACATGCTTTGAATAGTTTCCTACCTCACTTAGGAGGGGAAAAAACCACTTCAAATTCCAGGTTAACCATTTGTCTTCCCTAAAGGTGTAAATTTATCATCTTGAGTTTTCAAGTCAAACTGTGCCATTGTGTTCACCCCCAGAGCTTTCTGCATTTGCACCAGCCTGGGCCAAACTTGTTACAGTTGCTAGTCACCAATGGCATCATAGCAAGGCAGAAGTTGATTTGGGGTAAGAAAGAGCTGGGTTCAAGTCTCAACTATTTTCCAGCTCTGTGATCTTAAGCAAATTATTTAACTTCTATTGAGCCCAGTAAAACGGGAAAATAATAATATATACTTTCATGTGTTCACACGGTGCGGACTCAAGAAAAGCTATCTATGAGTGCACAGCCAGAACTTCTTATACTGGTCCAAGCAATAGCTGTACTTGATCACTAGTGTGTGCTGGGGACAGGAGGACTGGGGAGTGGTTAGGGGCTAGGATTTTAGGTACAAGTTAACTTTGACCTCTGCTTATAAAAGCTTTATAGTCTAATCAGAAAATGAACCATGTCAATAGGGATCAAAGGTTTGTTACGTGCCAAAGGAGAAAGGCAGCTGCTTACGGTTAGGGCACAAATCAGAGTGATCAATGCTGCCTGAGGCTTGGCCAGTGATGATTTCAAATAGAAGGAATTTTCACAAATGAGTTTTGAATCATGGGTAGGAGCCTGGCTAAACAGGGGTTCCCAGGATTTTAGGCACAGAGCATGAGCAAACACTAATATGGCTTGTGGATGCCCCAGAATCCCACAAACCACCACATGCTCTCTAGGGTATGAGAAAGAAAGGGTATGTGCTTATGGGTGCCAGGGACCAGGGGACCTGGAAAGATCCAAGAATTTGGACTTTATCCTGAGGGGGCATTTGTAGGTAAAAGATACCATAAGTCTTGCATTTCAGAAGAGTCCCTGTTACAGCCTCTGAGGAAGGGGACTGAGATGCAGAGCCAGAGTTGACAGTGTCACTATACTACCTTGTAGAAGGTGAGAGATGTAAGTGCCTGAGCCATAAAGCACTGTGTGGGAATGAGAATGGGAGAAACTGGAGACATCTTAAGGACCTTAGGGGAACAGTCTTGGACTGTGATGTTATGTGCAAGAAAGCAGCAATATGGAGAGGGGACTGACTCTAAGGTTTCTGGGTCCAGACTGGTGGACTATGTTGTCATTTTTGAAAGTCAGAAATACCAGAGAAAGGACAGGCTTTAGAAACAAGTAATGAGCTCAGCTTTGAAGATGCTGAGTCCCAAGTGCCTATGAGACATCCCAGTAGAAAACGTTTAGCAAAGAAGAGGGTCTGTGCTCCTACAGTATTGAGGCCACACACTGAGTGGGGGTCAGGCATCTTGGGCTAATGCTCATGAAAAGCTTACTATGTGCCACTTGGTGTGCCGCTCACAGACTTCATTTAATCCTTATTGCAGTTCAGGGAGGTGAGTACTGTTACCATCCCATTTGTACAGATGAGGTAAGTGAGAAACGGCAAGCCAGGCATCAGAGTCAGGCAGGCTGCTGCTCGATGCTGCCTTTTTTGTTAACTACCACACTGTTCTGCCTCCCACAAATTCTTCAGTAGACAGCAAGGAATAAGGCTTCAGTGACCTCCAATGATCTTCTTCCCAACTCCCTTCCAAGCTCCTCTCTTGCCAATGGAAAGTTTCCCCTACTTTCCTCCTGTAGTGGAGTCTACAGAAATCATGATCCCTGGATAACTTCCAAGTCTCCTCTGGGTATAATATGCAGAATCATAGGTGTGCAGAGGGGCAGACGAGTCTTTAGCCTTTAAAGGAGACACTGCTTCTCTCTCTTCTACTCTCCCTCCATCCCGGGCTTCCCAACCACAGCCATACACTATAAATCTGTTAAAAAATAAAATGAAATCAATTGCCAGTAGATCCTCAGCTAGGGCTAGGGCTTCTCGTTCACCTCCTTCCTCCATTCTGGGTTTTTGTCTGGCTTGGACTTGCATAGGTTTTGAACATACTGTCAGAAGTGTTGTGGGTTCATAGTACAACTGTCCTGTTGGGCCCAGAAAACATGGTTTTCTTATATTCATCTACCACCTCTGGCTCTGACAATCTTTCCGCCCCATCTTCTGCAATGATTCCTGACATTCTATTTCAAATGGGTAAATTATATGATACGTTGATACATTCAATTTTGTTCATTACATTCAGTTTTGTTCATTTATTTTCCTGTGGCTTATCTAGGCCATTTAAACTGGGTAGTGAACTGGAGTTCAATATGAAATAACTTATGTTTGGGGATAGGGACAAAGTACGCAGGTTCCTGTACTTCTGGCTCATATGTGACTGACTTCGGTTATGATGCTGAAACACAGCACATTGAGATACTTGACCTTCCTGGCTAAGACTTGCTCAAGAAAGATCCAGATATTTCTGTTTTGTTGATAGTGATGCTTTCTCTAATTGTAAACTTCCCCCATCCCTAGCTGTGTAAGGCTTTTGGCAACTTTGGCCCTGAAGAATAAGGCCTTAGTTTCAAGT